GTTTCTCTCCTTCAGCTGGTGGAACTTTTAGCTGCCACTCCCCACCCTCAGGTTGAGGAGCTTCTAGCACATGAAAGAAGACTCCAGGCATATGAAAGCCTGAGAATGGGTCTTACCTGGGCTCAATCAACACTACAATGACCATGGCAAAAGGCATCATACAGGGGCCATGTGTGCAACGTGGGCTGGTGTGTGCCTAGAGCCTTGTATGCACCCAACCCCAGTGGTTCCCACTTCGCTTAGAGTAAAAGCCAAAAAAATCCTGCACACTCTGCCCCCACTCCTTCCACCCGCGCCCTCCCTCACTCTGCTCAGCCACACTGGCCTCCTCGCTGTGCCTCAACACACTGGATGCTTTTCCACCTCAGGGCCTTTGGGCAGGCCACTCCCTCTGCCTGGAACACTCTCCCTCATACATCGGCATGGCTACTCCCTCTCCTGATGCCCTGGACCCTCTCTGTCCCCAAGGAAGAGTTCCTCCCAACCCAGGGCCTGGAGCTGAGGCCTCCTCAACTCCACATACCCAAGGCCCCCTCAGGCTCAACGACAAAGTTTAAGGGAAGGAGCTTTACCAAGGGGTCCCTGAGGTACAACATCCAGCCTCACGCCCCACCAATGAGTATGTTCCCAGGGCCAGCCTGTGGGGATAGGTGGTCCCTCCTCTTCCCATGGGCAGGGCCCAGAGTCCCCAGGCACCTGCAACAGCCAAAGCACACATAGAGCAAGTGCTTCAATACATGTTTGAGTGGAAACAAGAGGTCTGGTGGGCCAGCAAGGGAGAGGTGCAGATGGTGATGAGGCAGGTTAGTAAAAAGGAAAATTCCCTGGCAAGTGGCATGGAGAAACCAAGACAAATAGTGAATTTACAAACAGCAGAGCAATTAGCAGGCAGCTTATTAATTGCAAGATCTTATCTTCTCTAACCAAAGGCATTTAAAGCAGATGGTTTCCATCTCTTTTCTCCAACCAGAGAGCAAATAGCTTAAATCACCCTAGTCAGGAAGATAAATAACAGGGACCCAATTATTGTCGACCATATTCAAGAAAGTATGAAATCAGGGAAATAAATAACAACAACAAAAACAACAACAACAAAAACAGTTAGAACCAGACAAATCCAAGGTAGAGATGAAGCTGACCAGAGAATGAGCCTCTGATCCTCTCTACGCTCATTTTGATGCATCAGCATAATAAAAGACACTCCAGGAAAGTGAAGAATATTTTGTTGACATCCTCCCCTGAGAATTTCCCTAAAATTTCTGCCTTTAGAAAACATATAAAAACCTCAGGACAAAGGACTCCCTGGAGCATGCCCCAGCCTCTGTTTCCTCAGGCATGTACTTTTACTTTATTTTTCCTAAGCTCCAAAGTTCTGCCTCTTGCCTAATTTTTCAAAGGGCCAAAGCAGTTCCACCTAGGCTCACCCCTGTTGCTGTGATTTACTTATTCTATGCTAAGGCCTTCCTTTGTTCCACTGTCCCCAGCTTTAATAAACATCCTCTCAAAATCACCTGAACTCATCATTCTTTCCTGCACGAAGTCAAGAACCCACACATCCCAGACTGTGATAGCACAGGCCTGCACTGGTCTTTTTCTGGTGACAGAAAGAGCAAGGTGAAAACAGAGAAAGATGGACAGAGAGCAAAACACTGAGAACAAGAAATAAAGAAAGAAGGAAAGGTGAGGAGAGCTGATCTTCACCAACTGTATCCCAAGGCGCCCTACACAACACCCAGAGTTCAGCAGACAGCAGCCCAAGGTCAGAATAAATTATTCACCCGCAACAGACACATCAGCAGCAGCAGCAGCAGAACTCCTCAGGAGCCACCCCAGACCCATGTCAACCCTGGAACAGCAGGGCCCTGCAGCAGCCAGACCCCACAGCCAAGGACAACCACCGACCTCCTCAACAGCCCAGCCGGAGAACAACTTGTGCCCCAGCCCATGGAAAGAGCCTACACAGGCTCTGTCACAGTACAGCTTCCCTGCATCTTTACAACTGCCTCGCCACAACAGCCAGACCCGCACAATGACGCCGGACTCCCCAGTAACAGCCCCAACCCACCTTGACAGCCAGAACTCAGAAACAGCAACTGGAGAGCTGACAAGAGCTATATCCACCACCACCCCCACTCCCACCCAGCTCTCCTATGTGCTGTTTTCTTGAGTTCACAAGCGCTGCTCAGGCCAGCCACACTGAACACCCCAACCCACCCCCTCGCCCCGCCCCGCACCACCCCCGCCAGTGGCTGTGTAAGGATTGAAAATAATAGGGCCTTTTCAGAGAGGTGCACGCAGCCCTAGGGTTGTCATTCAAGTTCTGTTAAGAAGAGGAAAGGATGAAAGCCACTGCAGCGTGGGGGGCAGGGGTGATATAAGTGGGGAACGGGGGAATCCTAGATGGGGTTTGGAACTGCTGGTAGGAAAGATCCTGCAAGTGGTTCTGGGGTGAATAGATTGCAGAGGACAGGACTGGGGAGCCTGGAGCCCAGGAGGAGCCTGGAGCCGTGCTACAGGCAGAAGAGACTCCCAGAAGCAGGACAGGAGGCAAGGGCCAAATGGAGGAACTGAGTGACCTTGGCTTGAGGAACAGCGGCACCTGGTGGTAGCTCTGTGAAACCGCACTCTATTTTATTCAACAGACCAGTACTGTGAGTACGCTTAGCATTCCCAGTGTATATGACACCCAGAGTGGAGCACTTTGAACACCTCCTTCCTATAAAATATTTTTCATCAATAACACTAAAATAAAACAATTGATGGTGGCTATAAAAGGAATGGAGACAGTGAAAATTTATTTCCCTTATGATATAATACTTTATTGTAATAGTGTGAATTGTCCATAACTAACAAGTGAATTTAATGAAACTGACATATCTGCAAACAGAATTTTGGAAGCCACAAAACCATACCATTGGTACTTTTTTTTTGATCTGTTCATTAGTTTAAAAACACAATTTAAAAACAGTGTTTGCATTTTAATGGTATTATTCAAATTTAATATTATGGTTCACATATGAACTAATACGCATTGTCCAGCTAAAGCTATTATATCTTGTGGTTTGCAAGGCTTTACTGGTTTAGACTTTAAACACAAATAAAATCTCTAAGTGGCCATAGTGTTATGCAAAGAGCCAAGATTCAAGAAGGCCTCAACGTATCACTTATATTACCTGCTGATTCCAAAGAAATAACCTTGGGGACTGGCTGTGAGAGACATGAGTTCGTTAGGACTTGAGTGCACACCAAGGGCGGCCTGCTGGTGACGGCTCCACAGCACAGGCTTTCCCAGGACAGGGTTACTGTGCACAGAGTACAGAAGACAAAGCAAACAGGGAGTGAGTGCTTCATTATATTCCCAAGGGGTGTGAGGGGAAGTTGGAGCTTGGGAAAGGATCCAGGTGCTCACATTCCACACCACAGAGAATGACAAAAATGGGAGTAATTTGAATTCATGTCTTTAGCTTTAGAATCTCTGTGCTCTCCTTATCTGTTTTAAATCTAAATGCAGGAAGATATTGCCTGATACAGCTCAGAGGCCCTCAAAAAATTCCACACCTTTACAAACGTACACTCCAAATACACGCCCATAGCTCAGAGTCTTCATGTGTCTCGAGTTGACTGTATAACTAGGGGTTTTCTAGATTCACTTCCATGTAGAGTTCAAAGTTTATTAAAGAATATGCAGGTACAAATGGTACGTATCAAACTCAACAGCAAATGGTGAAATTACAACAAGATCTGTACTTAAGTTAATCTCAGCGTCAATTACCTGGTTATCATGTACCCACAGGTCACAAAGGCTCAGTAGTCTCCAGTGTCACCCAGCTGGGCCTCACACGCCCACTCCTCACAATGGTGAAGCCCTCCAGCCCTCCCCTATAACTCCACAAACAGCCACAGGCTGTCCAGAGCTCCCCATACAAGAAGAAAAACTGTCTTCCCAGAAGCCACAGAGAATCTCCTTGCCTTTCCTGGGCTCTGAGTGGGTTCGGTGCCGCCCTTGAGCCAATCACTCTGGGGGACAAGCCAAGAGAATGAGGCATTGGCTGGAGACTGGGGACGGGGCCAATGACAGCTGAGGAAGGGGAGCTAGCTGGGGAAAGAAATGCAGGCCCCTGGCTCCATTTCACCCCACCTGGTGGGTTCTGCGGGGAAACTGAAGCAACAAAAGCTTAGAGACAGGTCTTCTGAGGGGGACTGAGCTGGCCCTTGGGGCACCAGGTGATGAAAACTCCAGCTATGACTCTCTGGCCCAGGAAGAAAGGTGGGACAGCTGAGCAGGACGCTGGGTGGCAGAATCACCTGAAGACACTTTAAAATGCACCAATGCTGGGAGGTGGAGGGGTCAGCATGTTAGAATCGGTCCATGCAATCACAACGGCAGGGAAGCTGAGGCTCAGCCGTGCACACAGCCCCACAGCTCCTGCCCCCGACCATTCAGCCGCCTTGGTTTCCCCAATCTGCCATAGCCCCTCACTCTAATGAAGATGTTCCCGAGTAAGAGAGGCGGGAAGGCCAGCCCCACATAGGAAAAGTTGTTTTCAGACACTTCGTATCAACCCCTTTCTGGTCCCACCCTCACCCAAAAAAAGATGAGAGATCTCAAACAAGGGAGAAGCTGAATTTATTCCAATGGCTGAGGTCTTGCCACCTGAAGACTCTCAGAGTCTTCTCCTTCAGGGTCCAGAGGAAGGAGGATCTTTGTTGTAAGCGTTACCCCTCAGCTCAGGGCACCCCACTACGTACCAGCCCAGGACCAGCCTACACAATGTCCCCCCACCCTGGGGCTTTCCTCCTCCCCCAACCAGAAAGAACAGGTGACCAGGTAGGGAATGCTAGACCAATGTGGGCCTGAGGCCTCAGCCATCCCTTCACAGCACAGCTGGTCAGGAGAGGAACTGGCCAGGCCCAGCCAGACTGGAGGTCCTGGGATGGAACTGAAGACACAGAGGGAAAGCTGGGGCACAGGGGTTTGCAGGCCCTGGGCAGGCTGGTGCTCAGGCAGAGGCGGCCTCGGCCCCCTTCCCACACTCGAGGGGGTCCTCAACCTTGCTTGCCAAGCTGTAGTAGTAGGTCCGCATGCGCTGCTCCACGGCCAGGAAATCTGGACGATCTTCCCACCTGTCGGTGGTGGGGCACATCTAAGCTACTGACCACACAGCCAGAACCCAAGTTCAGCCGAAGGTGGACATGTGCAGGGCTCAGAACATCATGGGATTGCCGGGGTGATGGAGTATTGGGTAATGGAAAGGTCTTTCTGGTATGAGAGATCAGAATTTAGTGTTGCTTAATAGAAGGAGGGCTGCAGGCAGACAGGATGTTGGGTGTTAACTAGTAAAGACTTAGAGAATTGAAATCACTGAGTGTTGGGCTGACAACGATTGGCCACAGGGAGCTGGGCTATTGGATGCTGAAACACTGAGTATGTAATGTACCCAGGGTCAGGGTATATGAGTGCTAGGTGAGGGCTTATGTGGGTATAAATATGCTACCCGTGATGGAACAGAAGGACAGGGTACTGAGGCTGGGCTGGCTAGTGGAGAGCTGAGGTAGTAATGGTACTGTGTGTGGAATATCCATGTATCGTGTTGGGGTGTTAGGTGCTAGCCTCTTTGGGTTTGGGGGTATTGTCTATTATTGGATGTCTATTTATTGGATTGCTTGGGTGTCTGGGAATCAATGTCATGGGTGTTACCAGTGGAGGAATGGTGCTGGGTGGGCTAGGAAAGGTATCAAATCCTGTAATGTACATGTGTTGCATGATCAGTGTAGGGTAATAGCTTCTTTGGGTCTTTGCCTGTTGTCTAATAGGTAGTTAAGATATCGACGGTGTTAGGGGTTGGGGTGTTTGTGTGTTAAGCTTCAGCCAGACGGAGGTGGGGTTTGAGTATATTGAGTATTGTGTACTTCAGTGTTGGCCTGTCTGGGTGATTAGGTATTGAATGTTGGCTAGTGGGGAACTGAGGAATTAGATGCCAGAGTGTTATCCAATGCCTGAGAATTGGTATCATATTTAGGGTAACAGAGTGCTAATTTGTTTGAGTATTGCATGATCAATGTGTTGAATGTTGGCTGGTGGGGGACCGAGATTTTAGATGCTCGCACAGTGGGACTCCACAGGTAGGGTGTTGAGGTATTGGTCCACTGGAGCATTGCAGGGTGAGTGTGTTAGAGAGTTCAGCATAGATGCAGAACCAAAGATGCTGAGTGTTGGCAAGGCAGTGAACTGGTGAGCCTCTGGGTGGGATGATGCCAGGTAGGGTTTTGTTGGACTGAGTATTGGGCACCAAGAACTTCTGCCCCAGCCCCAGGCGTCAGTTCAGCTGTGTCCCCTCCCACCCATTGGCACTCACTTGTAGATCCAGCAGTCATTCATAAGTGCATACATTTCAGGCGGACACTCTGGCGGGCACTCCATCCGCTTGCCTTGCTCGATGAAGGCCATGACTTCGGGGCCCTTCATCTTCTGCTCAAGCCAGAGCCAAGTGCACACGTGAGTAACCAGGGCCCCCACCCTCCCTACCTTCACACCCAACCGACCACCCACCTCTACCCACACCTGCCTTGTAGGGCTTCTGGCCATAGGAGAAGGCCTCCCACATAGTGACTCCGTAGCTCCAGACATCACTGCGGCTGGAGAACTTTCGAAAGTTGATGCATTCAGGTGCGTACCATTTGAGTGGCCACTTCCCTGCCGAGCGGGCCTGGGGAAGGGGAGATAGTGCTGGGTCAGGGCTTGGGAACCCATCTCCATCCACCCCACCCACCTGGGCACCAAAGGGGCAGGGTCTCACTGTGTAGTAACTATCATCGGCGCCCAGTGCCTTGGAGAGGCCAAAGTCACTGATCTTGGCATAGTGCCGGTTGACCAGCAGGACGTTGCGGGCTGCCAGGTCACGGTGCACAAAGTTCTTCTCTTCCAGGTACTTCATCCCCACGGACACCTGGTGCAGCAGCTCCGCCACGTTGCTAACAGGGATCTCCTCCCTAGGGTGCAGGGGAAGGCAGGATCAGCAAGGAGGGGACAGCCCAAGTTCCCAAGGGGCCCAAGCCCATGTCTCTGACCCAGTTGGACATGTGTTCATGCTTATTAAGCATCTGTTGTCTGCCAGACATGGGGCTGGGAACATAGCGGTGAGCACACAAAGCCTCTGCCCTCAGGCAGCGCCCTGGCTTTACGTTCCACCCACATACTGTGATTCCCAAACTTATCATTTGCCTGCATCCCCTATGTTTCCTCAGGGGGCATCTCATGGGCATCTGAAAGGTTGTAAGGCTGAAGCTAAGCTCCAGATTGTGTGTACTCACACACAAACACATGGCAGCTCCTCCCTCTCCCTTCCCCCCCAGCAGCTCCACCCTCTCATCTGTTCAGGCCAGAAGCCTTGTCCCCAGCCCTTCTTTCTCACAACCCACCATCCAATCCGTCAGCACACCCTGACAGCTCTGCCGTCAGGATTCCTCCAGAGCCCTCCTGCTTCTCCCACCTTGGCTTCTGCCACCCTGGTCCAGCCCCCATCATCGCTCGCTAGACCAGAACAGTCACCTCCGCCTTCACCTCCCAGGGTCTGGCCTCCCCAGAAGGAGTCAGTCTTCCTCATCTGCTCACAGCCTCGCAGGGTTTCCACCTCACTCAGGGTCAAAATCCAAGTCCTCCCTGTGCCCACAGGGCGCTGCAAAATCTGCCCTGTCACCTTCCCACCCACATCAGGTGTCCCGGCACTGTTCCTCCACCACGCCAGGCGCAGGTGCAACTCAGGGCCTTTGTACCTGTACCCTCTGCCTAAAATGCTCCTTCCCCAGAGCTGTGCTTTGCTGCCTCCCTAAGTTTGCACAAACCTCCCCTTCTCACTTCTCATCTCCCACCCTGACAGTCCCAACCCCCTTTTCCGTACTTATATCCTGACATACTCCATACTTTATTGTATTATAATTATTTGAAGTCTCTCTTCTACAACCAGAATACAGTCAGAGATGTTTGTCTGTTTTGTTCACTGAAGAATTCCAAGCACTGCAAAGGCCCCTGGGAGTCCCACAGAGAAATTGCCCGAACACCTGGGCAATGACTGAATACAGGAGCTGGGGCCCCCGTGAAGGCGTGCACACCGGCTGCCAGGCACATGCCTCAGAGAGTGAAAAAGACTGTGAGAGGAAGAGTCTGAGGTGTGAGGAAACCAATGAAACAGCAATTGCTTTAGGTCAGAGGTTGGCAAATTCTTCTGTAAAGGGCCAGATAGATAGTAATATTTTAGCCTTTGTGGCTTCATGTGGTCTCTGCCACGTATCCTTGTGTTTTCTTTTTCTTTTATAACACTTTAAAAATGCAAAACCACACAGGTCAAAAGTAAACCCTGGGCTGCATTTTGCCAACCCTGCTTTAGGTCAGAGACAATCAGCTTAACTTCACGTGGGTCATCAATTTGTCCAAGAGAGTCGGAGCAGCAGTCGTCACAATACTCAGACCTAACACTGAGAAAGCTCTCACAAGCCATGCCAACCACGGTTCCAAGCACTTTATAATACAAATAGCAGCTCATCTGATCCTCACAATGACCCCTTGAGGCAAATACTATGATCACCACTGTGGTATGAATGAGGAAACTGGGGCCCAGACAAATTAAGAGACCTGCCTGGGGTCCCCATATTTAGCAGCAGAGCTGGGACTCAAACAGGGAGGTCAGGTTCTGCCCTGTAGTTGAGTGTGCATGTCAGGGCATACAGGGGGTAGGCGTGAGTGTGTCTACGAACATGTAGAATGTGTGTGCACTCATGGGTGGAGCCCCCCAATCCCAACCGCCCAGCAGCCCAGGACTCACTTCTTCCCGATCAGGAACTTGTGCAGGGGCCCACCGCCTGCCATCTCCATGACGAGCATGAGGGCCTCAGCCTGGCAGACGCCGATGAGCCTCACGATGTAGGGGTTGTCCAGCTGGTGCATGATCTGTGCCTCGCGCATCATCTCATCCTTGTCCGCCTTCTCTGTGCTGTGTTTCAACACCTTGATGGCCACATCAATCTGCTTCCTGCCACAGTGGATACCCAGGTGGGAGGTACACATGTGAGCCAGCACAGTCCTGCTCAGCCCCTCCTGCCCCGAGCTGCCTCCTTCTCCCAGGACTTGTTTAATGGATACTGTGGTTTGCCACCCAGATCTCCCTTCAGGAACCAGGCACTCAGTCCCTCAGCTGCCCGGAGTGTCGGCTGGGGCAGAGCACAGCCAAGTCCCTCCCGTGGAACAACCCCTCACTGAAAAAGAGTAGTTGCATTCAAAGTTACACTCACCCCTGGGCAGCTTGTATTCAATGATGGGTGGATGCAGGGGTTCAGGGGGCTCCCACCCTCTACAACTCCCCTGGGAATAGCCAAAGCCTCTGGGATTAGCAGCTGCAACCCAGCCTGCCTCCCCTGCCCCAGGCTGTTTGTCTTACTCCCTCTCAAGTGCTGTTAGGAAATCCTCTAGCAATTTCTTGTCCCAGGTCTGTTTCCCAAGCAACTAATGTCACATCCTGGCTCCACCCTGGCTCTTCACCCAATGGTCCCTGCCACTGCACCAGCGATAGCCGTACTTGCGCATGCGGTAGACACCCTGGCGCACTGAGCCGAAGTTGCCACAACCAAGTTCAATGTCAGCCATGATGAGGTTCTCACGCTTCAGGAAGAGCTTCTTGTCCTTGAGCTCCTCGGGGTCACTGTAGGGGCTCTCATACACACTTGTGTCCATGGGCATTGGCCGTGGTTTCCCTGGGGATGCTAGGCATGCTGGGCACACACACAGAAATGCACTCCCAGGTCAAGAGAAAGGAGACGGGCAGAGGGATGGAAGGGCAGGAGCCTCAGTACCCACCAGGCACATGTCTCAGACAGGGCTGTATCACCTAGAGCATGTATGGGCACATGGGTGCATGTGTGTGCATGTGCACACACATACACTCCTGGTCCCATCTGTGGGTGCACTGGGAAGCCACGTCCAAGTGGACTCTAAAGGCATGTGCATTCCCTTGCATATGTAATAATGTGTGCCCATGTGTTCATGCATATGCACCCATGTACATTTCCACTGATGTTTCTCACGTGTGGTGAGGGCCCAAGCATGTCTGTACAAGTAACTGTGTGCCAGCTGGAATGTGCACATCTGTACCTATGTGTGCATTAACATGTACGCACCTACATCTGTGCCTGCCCATGTCTCCACAGGTACCACAAAGCCATGTTTACAAGGGCTCCAAAGGTGTGCACCCACAACCATGTAAGTTCTCTGAGCACACATGTGGACAGGCTTGCATCCACACATCAAACACATGAGCATCGGCAACAAGGTATTTTAGGAACACAGCCTCTGGAGCCTACCTGCCTGGGTTCCAATCCTGCTCTATTACTGTCTAGCTGCCTGACCTTAGACAGTTACTGTCCTCCTTTCTCACCTGTAAAACGAGAATAATTACTATGGCTAACTCCTATGGTGTGTCAGGAGGATCTAACAAGCTCATATGCTCAGTGAGCTTGGAGCATAACTGGCACATAGTAGGTGCTTAACAGATGTATGTCTGTGTGCTGGGCATCCCGGACACAGCCACGTGTTACCCCCTGCGTGTCTGCATACCATGTACATGCACACAGACAGGCATGATGAGTGTGCCTTTGTGCAGATGTCTGTAGGCACAGCGTATGCACGGGCCAACCAAACCAATTGCCACAGGCCGGGCCAGGCCCCTAAAGCTCCTTGAACATACCCAGAGCCAGCCAGGGACCCTGCCATCAGCCTATCATGAAACCCACCATACACCTCCACTTCTGCCAGCTCACCTGGTTCAGGGGTGTATCCATCTGAGTTGGAGGTGTCAATCCGTCTCTGAGTGTGAAAGTCATGAGGTCAGCAAGAGTCATTAGGGCCCAAGCTGAGGGTACCAGCACCTCTCATGAAACCCATATCCTCTGAGGGCTCCCAGGGAGAATGATGGGGGTACATCCTCCTGTTCCACGGCAGTCCCATTCTCCACCCCAGCCTCACCCTGGGAACAGGACCCACGGCCCACCCACCAGCTCTGTCCCTGAGGCCCCAACTCTGAGATGCCAGCTGACTCACACTGGTGAATGTGGATGGGTGGGCTGGGAGTGTGGGAGCAGCGGCCCCTGAGGAGACAGAAAGGATGGTGAGAGGGCGAAAGACAGCGTCTCCTGCTCCTCTCACCCGCACTGCCCTGCTCACCTGCACTGGCGCTGGTGTTGGGGCAGGCCTCCTTCAGGCAGTAGATGAGCCCATCGGCCTTCAGCTTTAGGTACTCTACCAGCTGCAGGGGGAGGGGACCGTCAGGGACCAGCTCCTCTCCTTCCCAGGAGCCTGAGCACCTCGTCCTGCATCTCCCTGACAACAGAGCGGGCAGAGGCTCACCTGCCAGAGCGTGTCAAATTTGGTCCCCTCTGGTATGCAGTATTTGCCAGCCTTGTCCTGGCTAATGAGGTAGTGGTACGCGGTTTTCCCATAGATCAGAGACAGTGCATATGTGCCTTGCTCTTTCCGGGGCCTCAGACTGGAGAGGACAAAGAGGGAAGGTCACCCATACAACCACCTGGGCCCCTGTTGTGGTACACCCCCCGCCTCCGCCGGCTGGGCCCCAGTTCCCACACATACACATCCTATGGGATCTATACCCCAGAGCTTCCTGGAGAAGCAGCCAGGACTGAGAGAGCCAAGGTGGGTCAGGCCCCACTCAACTTCCAGACCTACTGGTAATCTCCAGGCCAGGGGGGCACAGGGGTCAGGGAGCAGAGAAAAGATGCAGTCATCCAAGGACAGACATGTGACCATTCACAAGAAAATACTGGGCCTCCAATAGCAGACACTCAACCTTGCATGACCTGATACTCAGCCATCCACAGATGGATACCTGGTCCTCCGTGGTGGAATACTTGGCTGGATACTTGGTCTTCCACAAGGGGACACTCATCCTTCCAAAAGGGGACATCCACAAGTGGACACTCAATTACAGGGGACACTCAGCTATCCACTGGGGACACTCACCCTTCCAAAAGGGGACAGTAGGCCATTCACAGGGGATACTCATCCATCCACAAGGGGATACTCGGTCAATTACAGGGGACTCTGAGCCATCCACAGGGGACACAGCTATCCACAGTGACACTCAGCCATCCACAGGGGACACCCAGCCATCTGCAGGGAACACTGGGCCACCCATGGTAGACTTAGGACCATTCTCTTGGGGAGAAAAAGTCATTCCTACATGAAACAACAAAGGCAGTACAACTCTGTGGCTAGACCATGGGACACCTTTGTACAAATCAGAATGAGTCGCTGTCATTACAATAGACCTGCCAGTTATTGTAACAGACTGACCCTTGACAGAAAGAGACCTTTGATTGTCCTCTGCTATAAATTTGCCAAAATAAATATATCTTTCATGACTATGAATGGGAATGGAGCTCCTCAAAGATGGTGGCTTTGTGCAGTAAGAACTTATCTATCCACACACACATGTGCACATACACAGACCAACCTGACCACACTGTGGGGGTACGTGTGGGAAGGGTTCAGCTTCAGTAAGATTCCCAAAGGGGACCATGATCCAGAAGAGGTTAAGAACTACTTAACAATATAAACTTGAAGGCCCTTCCCAGTGGTCAGGTTTGTCTACACATTGAATCAACCAGTACCACAAATGCTGGAATTCTGCAGAAAGGCAGCAAGTTTTGGCAGCAAATGACCATCCATTTTTTTTAAAGGTTTTATTTATTTTTTAGAGAGAGGGGGAAGGGAGAAAGAAAGAGAGGAAGAGAAACATCAATGTGCAAGAAACATTGATAGGCTGCCTCTCACCCACCCCCAATTGGGGACCTAGCCCACAACCCAGGCACGTGCCCTGATTGGGAATTGAACCAGCGACCCTTCAATTCACAGGCCAGCACTGAGTCCACTGAGCCACACCAGCCAGGCTCATTGGTTAATTCTTTTAAGATTTTATTTATTTTATTTTTAGAGGGAGGGGAAGGGAGAGGGAGAGAAACATCGATGTGAGAGAGAAACATCAATCAGTTGCCTCTAGAAAGTGCCCTGACCAGGGACCAAACCCACAACCCAGGCATGTGCCCTGACTGGAATTGAACCAGTGACCTTTCACTTTGCAGGATAATGTCTGACCAACTGAGCCACATCGGTGAGGGATATTGGTTGATTCTTGTATGTGCCCTGACTGGGGATCGAACCCAAACCTCAGCATATTGAGACAATGCTCTAACCACATGAGCTACCTGGCCAGGGCCTTCATCCATTCTTCAACAACTCTGAACTGTGGTCAGTGATATGCATGGCCCCAGTCTTAATTGCAGACCTGAGTGGTATGGGTCTTTCTAGCATACCCTGCACGCTGATCTCAGAACTAGACCAGTTCCGGGCATGTCCCAGGCCTCGTGACCTACCAGAGATGTTCCTCTCACCCCTGCCCTATGTAAGGTTCTGTGTCTACTTACAGCTTTGACTTCTGGTCCCGAACTATCTACACACTGAGAAAGCAGCTATTGACTACAGGAACCACAAGAAATCTATAACATTTTCTGTGCAAATCACACCTTGCCTAACTTTCCAGCAGTGTGGCTCATTGTAGCGGCTTCTGTCTCTGGATGTTTTTCCAGCTGTCCCTCATAATGTCACTGCTCCAATTGCTTCTGAACCTCAGCACCAGCCTTAGTCTCTATACTGTACCTAGATCCTACCTCCTTCAACCTCAGCCTCCATGGCCAATACTTGCCTTTGAGCCTTCAAGCCAGCTTGATATCCAGCGCACCAGCTCCTTGAAGCCATTGGTTCTTGTTCTCCTGAGATTCCTCTTACCTCAGTAGACAGTTTTACTCTAAGCCTGTCATAAACTCTGCTGTGTTAATGCAAAAACTTTCCAAACTGTTCCTTTGGGCAATGGAATTCTTTGTCAAACATCTTCCGTGGAAGCTTAAAATATGAAACAGGTCAAAGCTGAGCCAGCATGGGAGCTTAGTAGCCCACCTGCTCCACCTTCCATTCAATTCTTCCACCTCTTCCCTCCCCTAGAGTCATCTGATACTTTCAGGGGGGCTTAGGCAATTTGGAGGGGGGCATTTTTTTAAAAAGAAGATTTTATTTTATTTTACTTTATTTTTAGAGAGAGGGGAAGGGAGGGACAAAGAGAGGGAGAGAAACATCTATGTGTGGTTCCCTCACACACGCCCCCTGTTGGGAACCTGGCCAGCAACCCAGGCCTGTGCCCTAACTGGGAATCGAACTGGCAACCCTTTGGTTCACAGGATGGCACCCAATCCGCTGAGTCACACCCACCAGGGCTGGTGAGGGGTACTTTTAACACTGTTGGAATCGTGGAATCATTGTCTGTATGTGGGACATAGAAGGGGAAGAGAGAGGAGGAGAGAGGAAGAAAGAAAAACCAAGACTGAAGGGAGGCAAAAACTGAGGTGATAAAAAGCTGAGTTAGGAACTTGAGATGAAACCAGAGGAGGAAACCTAGACTGTAAAAATTAAGAAAGAAGAAATTATATGTCATAAAGGAGAAAACAGAGACAAGGAGAAAGAATCAGCTACACCAACAGGAGAGTCACACCAACCTCCCTTTGTTGTGTCTAGCTTGGAGAGAGCCCCAGACACTCTGGCACCTAAGTGAACATGTGCATGAGCAGGTGAGATATGAATGTATGCGAGACGTGTGACCAAATGTTGGTAAAGTCTTAGCGAGCAGCACACCTGAGGTGGAAAGTATGCAGCATCTGGACGAAGACAAGTAACATCTGGACTAGTACCAGGCCTCACTATGTACTAGAAGATGGAGCCCTCTAGAAGCACCAGATGCAGAGTCTGCCGTCAAGTGTACAGCCCAAAAGGAAAGAAGGAGCCCCAAACACCCACATTCGAGAGACCCATCACCTCCATCATGATCTCCTTGTTCCAATCCGGTGATGGACTTTGCAAAACTGGCTGCCTTAATTCCTCTCCTGTGGGTAGTCCCTTTTCCCACAGTGACTCTGGTTTTGGCCACATGACTTGCTTTGGCTAATAGGACATCAGTAACATTATACAAGCAGAGGCTTAAAAAGTGCTTGTGTATTGTCCCTTTCCCTCTGCCACTATTTTTGGGAACTCTGCGACCGCCACCATTGAGTAAGCCCAGGCTGGCCTGCTGGACAATGAGAGCACTGCAGCCAGTGCATCCCCTTCACCCAGGGGACACAAAGCCCATGGCCGGACACCTGAGAATGGCCATCCCAACCTGTTCGGTCCCAGCCCGGCTGACCCAAAGAAGAACAGCTCAGCTGACTCACAGAATTGAAGCAAGAAAAATGCTGTTTGGAGCCAGTAACCCTTGGGGCAGTTTATTATGTATCAAAAGCTAACTGATACAAATACAAGGCTAAGTTTACCCTCTTAGAGAGAACAGTCCTATCTTAGGTTATTTAAAAGCCTTCCTTGTTTCTGAGCATTATTTCTAATGTGAATTCAAGAGTTCCCTCAGAATCTTTAGAACTTTACTCCAATTTTATCCTAAGTCTTTAGGCAGGGTTAAAAAAAAATATATTTCATTAGCTGACAACAGAGTCTTGTGTTGGAACCTGTATCCTGTGGGAGACCGGCAGGCAATCTGGCACACATGCAAAGACCGCACATGGACAGGGAAATTGAGAGGGTCCGTGGGTTGGCCCCAGGAAAGGGAGCAGCCCTAGGAGAGGTGGGAGAGCCAGGAATCAGCCGTGCAGGAACTCAGGCCATAAGAATGGAGGCCCTTGAAAATTCACAGACACCTCGAGGGGGAAAAGGGTTTCCTGAGGTCATAGGAAAGAGGCAAGCACCAAGTTTCTCTAGATCTTAAGGCCAGAGTGACCTCAGCTGACATCTGGATAACATCTGTTCTACAAGGGACCTGTGTCTGGACCAGAAAGCAATAGTGCCAGCAGGGCTTTCAGACACGCAGTAGGGTTATATAAATAGCTTTAGAGATTCTTCCATAATAACAAACTCACAAATAGCCACGTGGCTCAGCTGTAACTCAGACATGGGCAGAGACATACATTCACCCATATGTAATAAAAACTAACATTTAGGGTACTTCTACAATATGCCAGATACTGTACTTTTACTTTACATGTGTTAATTCATGCAATTCTTACAACAGACCCTCGGGGAGGTACTGCCCTCATCCACAGGGGCAGGCGCCTCTTCCTTCCCTTCCCTCCTCCTGCTTCAGCCCTCACGTAGCTCCAAGCACAGTGGGCTTCTCGCTGTTCTTGAATATGCCAAGAACTTGCCTGCTCTTGGTACTTGCCATTCCCATTTGCCAAGGACACCTTCTCCCAGAGAGCTGCACAGCTCACTTCTCACCTCCTTAGGTTCTTCACTCAAAAGACACCAGATAGGAAAGGCCACTTTGGGCCACCTAATTTCAACCCCTTCCTCACCTGCACAGACAGCACTTACCACCACCTGACACACTTTGTGTTTTATTGATTCATCTTTTTTGTCTACCTGCTCCAGAAGGACAGGGAGGGATTTGTGTCTGTTCTGTCCACTGCCATGCCCTCGTGCCTGAAACAGTGTCTGGCACAGAGCAGCTATTCAGTAAATATTTGTGGAATGAAGGCGGGGGAAATCAACCTATTTGCCACATGTCCCAGCTGGTAAGTAGTGGACTTAAGACTCCATCCCAGGCAGTGAGCTGTGGGTCCTCAACACTGCTGCTCCTTTCCCACAGGAAGGCACTTTGCACACTCAGAAACGCACTACCCCACTTTCACATGAAGCACAGGCACACCCCTGGTGGCCCACCCGCACACTGAGACCTGCCCCAAAGCCCCAGGCCACAATCCCCACATACAGGAACTTGCCGTCGGTCTGAGAGCCTGAATAGAGTTTGCGCTCGGCCTCTTCGCGTGTCAGGTTGCTGTGGTACCAGGGCATCCGCTCGTGAGCTGTGGTGGCGATGAGCTTCTCCACTTGGGGAGCCTGGCTGATGATGGCCAGCTCCAAGGCCTCACCCTAGGGAAGCAAGGGTCAAGGACACTTATAAGTGACATCAAGTGTGCAGCCACAGGAACCCTATTCCAACTCCTCGACCCTCCCCACGGCCTCCACCCATGAGACCCCTCCCTAATCCACCCAGGCGCACCTGGGGTAAATCCTTCGGGCTGTTGAGGACAGCCACCACTGCGCATCCAGCGCTCTCTCCCCGATCCATCCAGGCCCCGCCTGGCCAGGGCCGAGCCCCGAACCTGCCTTCCAGCCAGGCCCAAGCTCATCTCTAGCTTGAAGTTCTGACCCTGATAGTCAAGCGCCTTGCTGTAATGCAGGGGACTGAAGGCCACTGCCAAGCGCCCTACTAACCACCCTACCTCAGGGCGCAGCCCCCACCATCCTCTCAAACCCCATCCCTAGCCTAGACTAAGCCTCGCCCCATCCCCGGCCAACTGCAACCGCCACCTCTCTCTCTGGGAGTTTGGGCCCCTGTGTCGGAGGCCTATTCCCAAGTCCCGCCACCGGCCAGCGCCCCCTCCGTCTCACGGAAACAGTACATGTCAAAGGAATCCAAGAACAACGTCCTCTATTGTTGCTGTTAGCCTTCCCTCCCGCTTCCAAATCAGACGCAGCGCAGCAAAGCGCAGGCTGGCGAAGAAGACCATTGCTTCCTCGGCACCAAGGACCCAAAGTGCAAGGCCCGCCCCCTCCCGAGTACCCGCGCTCTCACCTCCAGCTTCCACGTCTGGCGCACGTAGTCTCGCACCATGGCGTCGCGCAGGCAGTCGAAGACCCCGGGCTGCGGCTCGAGCCCCGACGGCCGGTTGCACGGCTTGCGCAGGTTGCAGGGCAGGCCATCTGGGTCGCGCGAGTAGAACTCGCAGAGCTCAGCAGGCCCGCAGTGCGCCTTCCCGCCAGCGATGGCGTAGGTGCCGTTGAGCTGGCGCTCGATGGGGAAGTGGTGGAAGCGCAAGTCGTGCACCAGGGAGAGCACGTAGCCTCCCAGCGAGCGCAGGCACTGGCGCAGAAGGAAGAGGCCGTCGGCCATCCCAGCCAGCTTCAGGTGATCCTCGGCCTCGGCGCGCGAGATGCTGCCGTAGAAGAAGGGCAGGTGCGCCGCGGGGTCCGGCATCGCTGCCGCTGCCCAGTGCAGATTTTGCGCCCTTGCACCTCGCCAGACCCTGCAAGTTCAAGGAGGATTGGGGGTACGTCAGGGCCTTGGCATCGCTTCCTGAGCTCCGTCCATGGGCCCGGAGATAGTGGGAGAGAGGCCACGTTAAGGGGCATCCGCACCCATCGTGTGGAGTCTGCTTTGTGCCAGAATCAACTTGGAGAGGAGACCCAGCGTGATGAGCTCACAGAGCACGTAGTCCGAAACCTTCCTCTGACTTTTTAGAGACCTTGTGCCGAGTACCCAGACACCCCCGCTGGCCAGCACACATCAGCACCTGGAACCATTCATTCACTCCCATTGAATTATTATTGTTTCACGCCGGTGCTGGACACGGTCCCTGCCCTCATGAAGATAACAGTCTGAGGGGAAGGGGATGCAATAAACAAGGAAAGGTACAAAATAGTAATTACAGATGAGATCAGTGTTAAAAAGGAAACAAAGAACGATACTGAGAAGGAAAGAAGATGCCGTTGCTGGGATGGCCATCTTCTCTGAGAAGGTAGCACTTGAGCTGAGAGCAGAAGGATGAGGGGGAGCTAACTTTTCACCAAGCACGGAGGAGAGCAGAACAGCAGGCAGCGGGGGAACAGTAAGCGCAAAGGTCCTGAAGCTGGAGCAAGCTTTGCTTATCAAAGGAACCTTACTCTGTTAGCCTTTCCTGTGCTTTTCTACTCACTCCCCCCAGCATTAGAAATTCCCCTCTGCTCTGTCCTCTCTGCCTTCATGGGCAAGTTTCTAGAAAGCATAAACTAATCTGAATACCCATCAATAGGTACTCATTACATTAAATATATTAGGGTTTAACGCCTCTATGAACTTTAATAGAGCCATTAAACAAAATGAGGAGTGTGACTGAGAAGTATGATCATATATGGGGAGATATTAATATTTAGGTAAATAGACATCTGGTGAGGCAAATAACCTAAAATTATCTTCCTTCAACTTTGGAGTGATGGTGCTAGACACTGGATTACACCAGTGTCTGAATTCCTTAAAACTCAGCATGTACACTTAAGATTTGTTCATTTTATTGTATTTGGACTCCTCGGTAAAAAAAAAAAAAAAAAAAAAAAAAGAGAAATATTAAACCCTAGTTAATGATCTGTGTGCAGAAATTTTTGGGTGGGTACTGATGACTGTAATTTACTTTGAAAGGCACACAAAAAATAATATTGACTGATGGATGAATAGATAGGTAGAAAAGTACAGTCAAGTCTTGTTATTCACAGTAGCTCTGTAGAGTCGGTGCAAACACAAAAGTAGCAAATACTGAACCATGGCTCCTAGAGGAGATAAGGTTAGGTTCCTTTCAGCTTCTAGTCACATTTTCATTAACTGATGAGTACATAACCTTGTATGTGTACTTCTGTTCAAAGATACCTTATACTGTTGATTCATTCATATTGAACTCTCAGCCAACAGCACTGTTATCTATAAGCTTATCTAACACGTACTTTTCCCATAAGGCACCTCACAGCCTTCTTGCCCTTAGGAACACTAGGCAGCACTTCAGCACTGCATTTGGAAGACAGTTAAACAGTGAAATCACCAACAAACAGCACAAAAATGTGGCACCAAGTAGACTGTAAAAAGGACACTTGCTTCCAGTATCAAGTTAAAACAAGAAGGCTAAGTGTCACCTTGTTCCACCTCAGCAGGAATGTGCACGTCAGGTGATTCAAATTTCTTCCTATTCTGCCTGTGTTCTTAAATAACCGTGAAAGGGACTCAAGTACTAGTTTTAGGGTTATAAACAAAATTTGGTGGTAGGCTAATTCACAAATATGGAATCCAGTAATAATGGGTATCAGCTGTGTGTGATAAAGGAAATATAGCAACATGTTAACACAGGATCGAGGGGGTGGCTAATGGATATACAACTAATCCTTCTCATTTTTCTGTATATTTATGAGTTTTTATATATAATGCTGAAAAATTATCTTTGCATTGCAGTTTCCAGTCATTTTTCTACTAAGGAGGACCCAGCAAGGCCACACAGGCATAGGTTGTGTTCAAGAAAGGGTCTTTGGGTGCCTTTCTTAGTTAAGCAAATGTATGCAAGAGGCACAAAGAAAGCTTTTGTGGATTGAGAAAGGCTGCCGTTCCCCTGGGTTTCCAGGGATATGTAAGGATCGATAATGGATCTGAGATGAAGATACAGTAAGTCCTCATTTAATGTCATCCATAGGTTCTTGGAAATTGTGACTTTAAGTGAAACAATGTATAAGGACCCAATTTTACTGTAGCCAAATTGATATAAACAATAATTAAGTTCATATGGCATCTTTCTGGTCACAAAAATGCCGCCAAATTTCTAAATAATGGCCCAAAACTCCTCTAATAGTAAACATTGAAATAAATGTGAGCTAGACATACATTTAAGAGAGATGAATAAAAACAAGTGTAAGAGAGTTCTTTTCCAACTTGCTGCTTCTAGTTCAGGCTCCTGAGGCTTGGGGCCTGTCTGAGGTTCATCCAAACACACCCACTCACTCAGACTGGGACAATGTAGACACACTGATTCCTTTCATGTGCTCATCTTTGGGATGTGGAAGGAAACCAGAGTCCCTGGAGAAAACCCACGCAGACATGGGGAGAAGGTGCGACCTCCACACAGACAGCAGCCCAGTAAGAACTGAGTTTTTTCCCCATCAACATTATAATGAAACAATACGAATGCAAAGCAGCATTATTTGAGGGCCTGCTGTACTGAAAAGGGAATCATTTCAGGGAGAGGTCTGGGTCAGGACAACCGGAAGAGGGGCCAGAATCTGCATTCTAACGAGACTGGCTCTGACCCCCAGGGTTGGGAGAGCCAGGCTGGAGGGGCTTCCTGGACATCCTAATGGTTACTGATTACTGGCAGGTGATTAATCAGGGACTGCATTTGTGTCCCCACCTGTAGACATAGGTCACCATTCTGTAACAGGGTTTAAGTGGAGTCAGGAGAGCTAGCATTCACCTAGAGAAATGGAAACATGTATTCACATAAAAGCCCACACAGGAATGTTAGAGTAGCTCTATTCATCATTGCCAAAGTCAGAAACAACTCAGTTGTTTCTCAGCAAATGAATAGATTAATTGTGGGACATCCTTACACTGAGATATTTACGCAGCAATCAATCAAATGGAATGAAATGCTCATACACCCAACAACATGGATGAACCTTAAAAGCATCATGTTGAGTGAAGAAGCCAGGCTCAAAAACTATAACTATCTGATTCCACTCAAGACTATCTTGAAAGAACATAAGCACCCCTATGTTCATTGCAGCATTATTTACAATCACCAAGATTTGGAAGCAGCCCACGGATCCATCAGAAGAGGAGTAGATAAAATAGCTATGGGACAGCTACACGATGGAATACTACTCAGCTGAAAAAGAGAAAATTTTACCGTCTGCAACAGTATAGATGGGCTTAGAGGACAGTATGCTAAACAAGCCAGTCAGAGAAAGACAAATAACATATGATTTCACTCATATGTGGAATCTAATGAACAAACTGAACTAACAAGCAAAATAGGGACGGACTCATAGAGAGCAGGATAAGAGCTACTGGATAGGGGATGGAGGGATTGGGCAAAAAGGAAAAAAGACTCATGGACATGGACAACAGTGTGGTGATTGCTGGGGGAGGGGCGTATAAGGGGACTAAATGGTAATGGAAAAAAATAAACTTTCGGGAAAGAAAAAAAGACTGTATCATTGGAGAACACATCAGTGGCTGCCAGAGGCTGGATCCAGGGGAGGGATTGCCTACAAACGGGCACAAGGGAATTTCTTGATTGAGATGGTAGTTTCTCAGCTCTATGCATTTGTTAGATCTCACAGAACTTTTTATTAGAATAAGTGAATTTTACAGTATGTAAATTATAACTTAATTTCTTTAATTGAAGGGGGTTAAAGGACCTGGAAAGTATAGACAGGCCGGGCACTAAAAACAGTAACTGAAATAGGAAACAGAGGGCTGTCTCCATTCCTGCTCCCCTCCTAGACTTCTACCCTGTCACCTAGACTCAGAGTCTGTCCGCCTGCGAGCTGGTCTCCAGGCTCAGGGGGAGCTCTGATATCACCACCTGGAGGGCAAGGCACTAAGCAAGCACTTAGTGCCCTCCTGGATACTGGGTCCCCTGAGTGATGGACACTAGTGGCTCCCCTCCTGCTTGAATGTCATGGTTCCCTGGCTTGCCTCCTCCCTTTCTTAGAGTTTCTGCTCTTTTCCCTCCCCCCACCCTGGTCCCCTTACTTGGGTCATCCTGTCTGTGGCTAAACATGCAGCCACACCCACCTGCCTAGTCCAGATCTCTCTTCCTGAGGTTGGTTTGTGCTGCCATCACCTCCTTTGATCTCTACTCTCTGTTTCTATTAATAAAACCTGAGATCCTCATGTAACTCACATGGTGCTTGTGGTTGGTTAAACCCTGCAGTCTGTTTCCCACATGAGCTGAGCTTCTAGACAGTTCCTCCCCAAGGCCTCCCTTGCTCAAGAGCCTACTATGGCTCCCTTCTGCCTACTTCATTGACTCTAACTAAACTCCTCAGCACACCTTCTGCTCCACTTGGGCTGTGCTATTAGCCTGCCTTCGAATTCACGTGCATACTTTTATCCAGGTAGTGCCCTCCATTGAGTACACCCTCCCCACTTCTCTCCACTTCCCAAATCCAGGCAGCCCTGCTCCGTAGATTCATAATGCTGCTCCGCATAGAGCATAAGGGCATAGGACAAGGCAGCAAGATGGAGGCCCGTCCAGGAACCGCGGGGAGGGGTGGGAGTAGTGAATTTTGTCTCTGGGCAGGAAGCTGTGGTAGGAAACTGTTGGCAACACAGTTTGAGAAGCTCCTCCCCTAAGCACAGTAGCCGCAGGTGCAGCTTGAGTGGCCAAAGGCGGGTTCGTGCAGAAGCGGGGGGTAGGGAGAGGCTGACCCCTGGGACTCAGTCCAGGGCCATGAGCCATACACGAC